GTGTTTTCTCTCTTCTCAGTGTGTGTGTGTGTGTGTGTGTGTGTGTGTGTGTGTGTGTGTGTGTGTGTGGTGTCAAGGACTTTTCTTGCTAATTATGAGTCCACATGATTCCATCCCTAAGTGTCATCCAATAAGAGTAGAGAGGGAGCCTGAATGGGGTGTTGGGAGACAAATCTCTCAATGGGAAGAAAGGACTTGAAGGGCTGAAGTGATGGTTCAATGGTTAAGAGCACTTGCTGCTCTTGAGAAGCCTGGTTCAGTTCCCAGCACTCACAGGAAGGTCACAATTGTCCGTAACTCTAGTTACAGGGAGATCAGATGGCCTCTTCCGACATCTATGGTTACTAACATAAACATTTGCAAGCAAAACACTCACACACATAAAATGAAATAAATAAACCTAAGTATTCATTTAGGGTTTTCTTTTTGAGATAGTACTTAACTCTGCAGCCCAGACTAGACTCAGAGTCATGATCCTCCCGCCTGAGCCCTTTCTAGGATTACAGATATATTCCACTGTAACCAGCCTCAACAATTCTTTTCACACCACACACACACACACACACACACACACACACACACACACACACACACACACACACACGAGACAGGGTCTCACTATGTTTTCCTGGCTTGGGACTAGATATGTAACCAGGCTGGCCTCAAACTCACAAAGATCCTTCTGCCTCTGCCTCCCAAGCATTGGGATTAAAGGTGAGTGTTACTACACCCCGTGAAAAATATGCCAGCCTGGTGTGGTGGCACAGACTAGTAAAAACTGTGTTTGGAAAGATGGGCCTTAAAAATTATGAGTTTAAGTTTAGTCTGGGCTACAAGAGACCTTTGAGGCAAACAGCTCCATGTCTGTTTGGAGGGTGGCATGGGTCCGTTACATGGGGAGTTCTGACAGGTAAAGGCTTGCTTGAGAAGCTTATAAAGACCTTCTGGGCTGTTGTTTACTTGCTCTAAGTCGTAGGCACATGACTTGGTGGTAGAGTGCTTACTGTCTCCAGTGCTGAGAAAACAAAGCAAATAACAAAAGCCGCAAAGCTAGAACTGTAGTGTCTGTTGAAAACTCCAGGCTGGCTGGAGGGTAGGGGATGGGAGTAGTAACTGTTTTTCAGATTAAAATTCCTAGATTAATTTTCTTCTATTGTTATTGCTGCTGCAGCAGCTGCTGCTGCTGCTGCTGCTGTTTTAAGGCAGTGTCTTACTAAGCACACCTTGCCGGCCTGGAACTCACAGGTCTGTGTGTGCCCCCGTACGCTGCTCCTAAAATCCTATAAATTCTATTGTATCTTAGTTATGTCTTTGTGCTCTCATGCCTTAGCGAAAGAGAGGAACCAGAGGCACACGGGCACGTGTGCGCACTCCTAGAGTGTGCAAGGTAGAAGCAGGAGGGGCACTAGTTTTTGGTCATCCTTAGCTACACAGCCAGTTCAAAGTCGGCCTGAGCTATAGGAGACCTTCTCAAGAAAAACCAGCCTCCACAAACAACACAAACAGAAGGGACGGCCCAGTAGTGTTTGAGAAGGTGAAGTTGGAGACTCATCTCGATTTTTCTTTGTGACCATACCACAAAGAAAAACATTGAAAAAGGAACCAAATTGTTTTAGGGTTTCTATTGCTGTTAAGAGACACCATGGCCATGGCAACTCTTACAAAGGAAAAATATTTAATTGGTGGTTCACATTTTCAGAGGTTTAGTTATTATCATCTTGGTTCGGCATGGTGGTGTGCAGGTAGACATGGTGCTGGAGAAGTAACTGAGAGTCCTACATCTTGACTTGCAGACAACAGGAAGTCATCTTCAATACTGGGTGTTTCTGGGACATATATGAGTCCTCAAAGCCTGCCTCCACGGTGACACACTTCCTCCAACACAGCCAGACCCACGCTAACCAAGCCACACCTCCTAATAGTGTCACTCCGTATGAGCTTACAGGGGTGGGCGGGCAATTGCATTCAAACTACCACACAAATGTTCTTGGGAACTGCTAACCAGAAACTGACTTGCTCCATAACTTCCATTCATTCTACAAATATTCCCAGTGTGTGGCATGACCCAGCTAACGTCCTAGGTCCTAGAGGGTGTATCTATAAACAAAATAGACAAGTCTCTGGTATTTCCAAATTCATATTCTATTTGAGGAAGGCGACAGCAAATAATTTTAATGATTAACAGGAGAATCTGATAAGCATGCAAAGTGGTATGAGGGAAGCATCGTGAGGAGAGACACCTGGGAAGCAGCAGAGAAGAGCAGTGGGCACCTAAATGGGGGTGGGGGTATTCAGTTCTGAGGGAGCTGCAATGAAACATGACCTTTGAGCAGAAATAAAAGGCCAAGAGGATGTGAACTAAAAACCCAAAGGAAGACTGAGACAGGAGAAAAAGATGGGGCATTATGGGAAGGAAACATCTTGCTGGCTGAAAGTCAGTAACTTTAATACAACTAACAAAAACTTTTTTGTGAACGCCAATGAGGCACTTAAAGGTAAAAACGGGTGACTTTTGAGTTTAACATTTTCCCTTCCTTATATAAACCTGTACTCTTCTCTGAAGCCTACAAAATGATAAACCACATTTATAATCAAACTATTTTCTTTTCAACTTTCTTTTTGAGATAGGATTGTGCTATACAGCCTCCTGCCTCAGCTTCCTGAGTGCTGAGAATATAGGTATGCACCATGAAACCGGTATTGATCTCCATATAACCTACTTGTATTAAAAATCTTTTTGACCTTTTTGACTTGTTTTCATCCTATCAACCTGTAAAGAAAAGCAAAACAAGGCAGGAAACAAGGGTCAAATACAGGTCATGTCTGATCGTCAAGAGAGTAGTAAATGAGTGTCTGAAGGTAAACAGAGCTGTGAGGACATTTTAAGAATCTGTGTTTACGCCCAGAAGCAACAAGAACTTAACACTAGAGCCAGGCAGTGTTGGCGCACCCCTTTAGTCCCAGCACTCGGGAGGCAGAGGCAGGCGGATCTCTGTGAGTTTGAGACCAGCCTGGTCTACAAGAGCTAGTTCCAGGACAGACTCCAAAGCCACAGAGAAACCCTGTGTCAAAAAAAAAAAAAAAGAAAAGAAAAGAAAAAGAAAAAAAAAAAAAAAAGAACTTAACACCAGCCTAACTCACTGGAAGCCAGCCAAGCCAGGCTGGTGACTGACAGACTGGCACCAGATTCTAGGCTGGAGATGTGGCAAGAAGCTGCTGGACTCTGGACATGTTTACCTTTCTTTTGTTTTCTTTTCCTAGGTGTATTGAGGAAGAGTGGACATAATTTGCTGACAAAGTGGACAACGCCTTGAGAGAAAGAATTTAACCTAGATGATAAAACAACGAAGATAATCACTGTACTTCTGATGCCATGGACCTACAGAGCAAAGGACACTAAGTTTCTTAGAGGTGTATCACAGTAACGACATCCGTTCCTCAGGGAAGACACACTGTAATGCGAAGAGCAGGGTCACTATTCTTACAACAGTCCCGGAATACCTGCTGTCTCCTGCCCCCATGTTTCTGCTCCAGGTTATTGATACAATGCCACAAACATTTCAAGAAATCCAGTCTTCCTCCAAGGACTTCCAAAGGAAATCCAAACCAAACATTTCAACTGCATGAGAATTTTCATGATCAATGTAAATCTCCAATATATTCTGACAGGTTTATTTTGATATAATTTTGATTAGCACTCGGTCCTCCATATGGTTTTCTGAGTGATGGGTAGGAATCAAAAGCATTCTTCCAACCGAGCTGCATCCTCAAATGAATGATTTCTTTCATTTCTTTAACTTTATTTTATGTGCATTGGTGTGAAGGTATCAGATCCCCTGGAACTGGAGTTACAGACAGTTGTAATCTGCCATGTGGGTGCCAGGAATTTAACCCAGGTCCTCTGGAAGAGCAGTCAATGCTCTTAACCTCTGAGCCATCTCTCCTGCCCCATGAATGATGTTTCTGAGAATTTATTTTTATTATGTGTCTACTTGTATGTGCATGTGAGTGTGGTTGCCCTAGGTGGCCAGAGGCACTGGCTCCCTCTGGAGCTAGGGTTACAGGTGGCTGTGAGCCACTCAAATGGGTTTTTGGAACTGAACTTGAGTCTTCTGCAAGAGTGGCCACTGCTCTCAACCACTAAGTCACTTCTCCAGCTCCTGAGGACAAATCTTTCCTTTTATTAAGATTTAATTTTTTATGTGCTTGAGTGTTTTGCTCATATGTATGTCTATACACATGTATTCCAGTGCCCATGAAGGTCAGAAGAGGATCTTGGAGCCCCTGGAACTGAAGTTATGGATAGTGGTGAACTGCCATGTGGGTGATGGAAATGGAACTTGGGCTTCTGCAAGAGTAAGGAATTCTCTTAACCACTGAGCCATCTCTGCAGCACTCAGGATCTTAAAAGCAACTATTTAGAATAGGGAAAGACTATGGAAAACATATTGAAGAAATTGCAAATCAAAGTATTTTAAGTCCTTAAAACAGTGTATGCTGTGTCCTTCCTCTAGGATTCTAGGAACAGAGGCTGGCTTAAGGGCTTTGGTACAGGGATTACTCACCTGGGCGTGGTGACGCTGCAATGACCCATAATAAATATAACGATGCATCACCAACTCCCTTTGGACTCTATGAAATGCCTCTGTCTTCCTGGCAAACAGATTATTAGTTTGGCTCCCATGAATTTTCAGAACTAAAGCATCTACATAAGAGACCATCACAAAATTTTAAGACTGTGTTTCAAGTCACACACAGCTACATAAAAAGCCTCCAGCTGATGAAGGTTTGGATTTCAGTCAGGTCTCCTTGAGGGCTCAGCTTTGCCATCTCAAAAATGGGAATAATCATGTTTCCCCTAGAGTGGTTCCTAATGTACTTTGCTAATTTTAAAAGGTGTGTGTGTGTGTGTGTGTGTGTGTGTGTGTGTGTGTGTGTGTGTGTTGTGTTCAGGCATGCAGGTGTTGGTGGAACCCAATAGAGAGAGAACAGAGTTGTATATAGATGGCTGTAAGCAAGCCATCATGGGGGATGGGAAGTGAACTTTGGTCCTCTGCAAAAGTAGCAAACACTCTCCCTCATTCCCTCAGCCCCTTCATTCCTTAAACGCAGCTACAGAGGGATATGGTACATCGCTTGGTAGTCACATTCCACTGCCTGTAACTTTTACTCCTAGTGACAGGAATGCTCAATTTATGTTAGTAGAACAACTGCTGACACCGTGGGACCCTTGAGATGGCTCGGCTGAGCCACAGATGATTCCCAGCATCCACAAGGAGGAAGGGGAAGACCAACTCTGACAAGTTGTCTGTAGAACACTTACCATTTAGCTACATCCTTTAAAAAAAATTCTGTTGTATTCCTTTCTCCCCAAATTACTAGGAGTCAATATTTACTTACAAAGTTTCCAAAACAGCCTCTTGGAATAGCCAAGGCTGTATGTATACATTCCTCATTTTAAGACGGTTGGCCACAGAGCCAAAGGGATTTAAATTTGTAATGTGGTTGGCAGAGAAATAAAAACTGCCTTATTTTTTCCCCCAACACTTCCTATTTACTAGTTGTTTGCTGTCTGCGAGGTATTTAGAGTACTTCAGTTACCAATGAATGCTCAATTAGAAAACAAATTTACCATTACATGTATTCCTCAAAATACGGCCTTTCCATGTGTAGACCAGCCTGGGCTCGAGCTCAGAGATTCTCCTGCCTCTGCCTCCTGGGTGCGGGCTTTAAAGGCTGGCACCACCACAATGAGACTGTTCACGGAGTCAAAGCGCATCCCGTGCAAACTAAAGAAAAGAGGAGGGGGCTTTGCCCCTCGGGCAGGAGAGCTGGGTAAGCCGGAGGCCGAGGTCGCTGGGTTTCTTCAGTCGGCAATGAAGCCCTCCCTGAGACCCGGGGTCGCTCGCAACTACTCAAAGCAACAACACTTTGGCTCCGTCTCCCCGGAAGCCACCGAGGGGCCCCGGAGGAGTCCG